ATTTGTACATGCCTGCATTTAGACTTCTATAAATGTCCTTTGCCTCTTGGTTCTTTCCTCTATTTCCTTTTACTTAATTCTTGTCCCACCATCATGTTTGGCCTTCGATCGGGTTTAGTAATTCCTCGCTGCTACATTGACCTTGATTAAGCCCACTAGGCATCCTTTGATTTTTAGTTTACTTGTTGTTCCCTTGTCCCTGAGTTGCCCCCCCCCGCCCCCTCCCCCCGCCACCAAATAAATTGTTTCTTGTAAAATCATTACAAAATTTAAAAAGCAAGCCCATTGTCACCAAGTCATTTCCAACTCAAGGTAACTCCATGTGTTACCAAGTAGAACTGTCTCATAGGTCTCCCTTGACTATAATCTTTATGGAAGAGGTTTCAGGTCTTTCTTGTGCAGTGCAGCCACGCAGGTTTGACTCATCAACGGTTAGGTCCATAGTCAAACACAACTTATTTGCACTCCCCAAACCAATTCCAAACCCACTGCCATTGAGCTAATTCTGACTCATAGTGGATAGATTTCTCCTATCAAAATTTCCAGGCTGTAATCCTTACATGGCACTGTGGGTGAGGAGCCAAAGGTTGATGGTTCAAACCCACCAGTCACTCTACAAGAGAAAATGAGGCTGTCTGCTCCTATAAAGATTTACCATCTCAGAACCCCTGCATTTTAGTACAGTTGGCATGAGAATCAATTAGACAGCTGTTGTTTTAGGTATTTTGTTGTCACTATTTAATCTTTATGGACACAGACAACCATGTCTTTCTCCTGTGGTGTGGCTGGTGGGTTCGAATTCCCCACCTTTTGGTTAGCAGCTGAGTAACTACCATGGTGCCACCATGGCTCCCTTTGTACCACACAGGGGCCCTAAAAACATTCTGCTGGTTTTAAAACATCTCCGCCTGCAAATGTCTCTGTGCTACGATGCACTATCTCAGAATATGCTTGAAGAGACTTAGTGTCAGGGGTGAGATTTTTACTCCCAGAGTCTGACTTGTTATAGGATCTGTACTCCGATTTCTCATTGCTTTTAAAATAAGTCCAAATATTTAAATTAAAGGCCCACCTGATTCTAGTCCTGTTCATCTACCCAATCTCATTTTTAAGCATATGTGTTAGTCTGGGTCGACTAGAGAAACAAATTCATAGACACTCACACGTGTCTAAGAAAGAGGTTTATATACAAGAGCAATTGAATATTGAGAAAACATCCCAGCCCAGTCCAGATCAAATCCGATATTAGCCCATATGTCTGATACCAATCTATAAAGTCCCCTTCAGACTCACAAAACACATGCAATGACCCTGAATGCAGGAAGATCACAGGCCAGTGGGTGGGATGTCTTGTGAATCCGGTGGCATTGTAAGCATCTCAGTGCTGGCAGGATTCTCCATGTGGTTTCTCCAGCTCATGGCACTGGTGTAGCTCCATGTGTCTTGTCAGCTGCTATGTCTCCCAGGGAGTGAGCAGAGAGAGAGTGTCCTGCCTCTAAGGAAGAAATGCAGGGGTTCCCAGAATCCTCAGGAGAAGGCCATGCCCACACAGAGGTCTCCTTGGCTATATCCTGGCTGACAGGCTAGACTCCACCCCTATGCTCTTACTCCTCAAGTTGACGGCAGGCTATGTAACGACCACAGCACTCCTCTCACTCAAATGCTTGGCAGGCCCGTAACTGCCATGCTCCCCGATTCCTTGACTTTGCACCTTCTGCCTAGAATGCTGCCCTCTCCTCCCCTCTCCACCTTTCTCTGCCCCTCTGTCTAAGGGTCTTTCCGGAGTCCCTGGTGGCACACATGGACAGGTACTCTCCAACTAACAGAAAAGTTGAATCCTCCCCGAGAAAGAAGGAAGGCCTGGTCATCTACGTCCCCAAAGTCACAGCCCTTGAAAGTGGCAGTTCTATTGTGACACACAGGGTTCCCCAGAAGCTGGGATGACTGGTTAATGGGTGGTGGTGGATTGTTCTTTCAGGCCTTGCCTAAGATACCACGTGCTAGGAGAAGCCTTCCTGGACTCACCCACATCAAACTGGGTGCCACTCCAGCCTTCCCCTGTGTGGTAGTTACATAATCTGTTGTCAACTTGAGACTATTAAGAGTGAAGGGGTGGAGTTTAGCCTGTCAATCAAGTCACAGCGTGATGACTTTATCTGGAGGTGTCAGGAGATCAATAGCTCACTGGAGGCGGGACACACACACTTCCTACAAGGCATTCCTGACAAGACACATGGCACTACACTAGAGCCCTCGAGCTGGAAGAGCCACATGGAGACCCCTGCCAGCATTGAGATGTTTCCACTGCCATTGGATGCTGCATTCGGCATGATCTTCCTGTATTTGGTATCATTGTTTGTGTTGTGTAAGTTTGAAGAGGAATTTATAGATTGGTATCAGGCATATGGACTAATATCAGACTTATAGACTTGATCTGGACTGGGCTGGGATGCTTTCTCAATATACAATTGCTCTTTTATATAAAACTCTTTCTTATACACGAGTGTCCATGAATTTGTTTCTCTAGTCTACCCAGACTAGCACACCCTGGCACCTCAAGCTCTCCCTTATCAGCACTGCCAACAAGTCAATGAGCTCTCTGTGGGTTGGTTTCTGAGACTGTAACTGTTGGTGGGAGTAGAAAGCCCAGTCTTTCTCCAGAAGAGTGGCAGGTGGTTCCAAACTGCCAACCACGTGGATCACAGCCCAATGAGTAAGCACTACACCACCAGGGCTCCTTGTCAGAGAATAAGGCGTGCTGTTATAAACCTTCCTCAGCTGTGCTCTCCCTTAGGTTGTAACCTCCTTGCAGGCCACCACTTTTGTTCATCACCAAACTCCCAGCACAGCACCTAGAGCCCAGCCGGTATTCAACAAATATTTACTGATCAAAGGAATAAACGTACTTTGTTCGGGGGTAACGGAGAGCCATATAACATTAGAGGAGTGACCCTGTCAGACTGGGCACACAAGGACAAGCCTTGCGTCCAGGGGCCTTCCATCAATTTAGTAGGCTGCAGCTGAGGCTGAAACAAGTGAAGGACGCTGAGAGCATGAAATATGTGTGCTTTTACCTCTCAGGACTACGTGAGATGTGGTAACCCTGGAGAACGCCAGAAAGCACCATGGTAATGCCCCTAGTTTCGCCTTATGGAAGTGGGATGCCTAAAAGAGCCGGTGACTTACGTTTGTGGTGTGGGCCACAGAACCAGGAGTCTCCCTACCATAAAACCAAAGCCCCAAACACACTGCCACCGAGTGGATTCCAGCTCCAGCGACCCTACAGGGCAGGGTAGAAAGGAACTGCCTCTGTGGGTTTCTGCGACTGTAACTCTTTACCGGAGTGGAACATCTCATCAACTGCAAACCTATGGTTCGTGGTCCAACGCAGAACCATGACACCATCAGGGCTCCAGGGCCCACCATAAAGGCTGAGGAAATCTGAGGTTCTGTGGGGCCCACTGACTTGCCCCTGCGGAAAAACTGGGAAGCAGCTCCCGAATGTGCCCTTAGATCCAGACCTCCATTTCATATCTACACTTGCCCTGGGAGAGCACCGCCCCATGTAGATTACTTCTTTAAATAAGCAATTATGGCTTTCGGCCCAAACTGGACCTTGCTTACAGCTCCCAGCTGACGAAGGGTAGAGCGTGGCAGTAAGTTACGCCCCTGTGCCTCAGTTTCCTCGTCTGTGAAAGGGATACTCCCAAACACTCCTACCTTGAGGGCTAGAAACCGGCTTTCGGGCCACCAGCAAAGGCACGCAAGTCACGGTGCGTCCAGCGAGCTAGCAGACGCGACGAGTGGAGCGAGTGGGTTGAGGCTGATCCATCCACGCAAGCGGGACAGGACCGACGGGGCGGACCCGGCGCTGCGAGGGGCGGGTCTGGGCGCCGCGCCTCCCGCGCTGCGGGCCGCGGCTCCGGGCGCGGGGGGCGGGAGCCACACGGGGAGGAGCAAAACCCGGAGGCCCCGGGTGCCGCGGGCAGAGCCCGAACGGCTGGAGTCCGAGCGGCCCGGGAGGGAGCACTCGCCGTCCGGGCTGCCGAGCAGAGGCGGCTGCCTTCTGAGGCGCAGCGCCTGTGGCTCTCGCTTTGGGGTGCCGGGCGCCTTTCCTCACCCGGGCTGCAAGGCTGCCCCGGCCGCCCGGAGGGGCCCGGCTGGAGCACCCCCGGCCCCGCGTCGGGGGCTGGCATGGATCCCTCGGAGAAGAAGATCTCGGTGTGGATCTGCCAGGAGGAGAAGCTGGTGTCCGGCCTCTCGCGCCGCACCACTTGCTCGGACGTGGTGCGGGTGTTGTTGGAGGACGGCTGCCGGCGCCGGAGACAGTGGCGGGGCCGGCGGCGAGGGGTGGCCGGCGACTCTGCAGGCCCGGGGGAGCCCCCGGATGAGGATGAGGACGAGGACGAGGACGAGGAGGCGGGGCCGCAGGGGGTGCTCTGCGGGCCCCCGCAGTGCTACTGCATCGTGGAGAAGTGGCGCGGCTTCGAGCGCATTCTGCCCAACAAGACGCGCATCTTGCGCCTGTGGGCCGCCTGGGGCGACGAACAGGAGAATGTGCGCTTCGTGCTGGTGCGCAGCGAGGCGTCGCTGCCCAACGCGGGGCCGCGCAGCGCCGAGGCGCGCGTGGTGCTCAGCCGCGAACGGGCCTGCTCGGCCCGCGGGGCCCCGGCGCGGCCCGGCCTGGCCATGACCCAGGAGAAGCAGCGGCGCGTGGTGCGCAAGGCCTTCCGCAAACTGGCCAAACTCAACCGGCGGCGCCAGCAGCAGCCGCCGCCGTCGCCCTGTTCGTCTACTTCTTCCACCGCCTCGTCCTGCTCGTCGCCGCCGCGGGGCCGCGAGAGCGCGTCGGTGGAGCGCATGGAGACGCTGGTGCATCTGGTGCTGTCCCAGGACCACACCATCCGCCAGCAGGTGCAGCGGCTCCGGGAGCTGGACCGCGAGATCGACCGGTACGAGGCCAAGGTGCACCTGGACCGCATGCGGCGGCACGGGGTCAACTACGTGCAGGACACTTACTTGGTGGGTGCAGGCATCGAGCCCGACGAGGCCGGTCCGGGAGAGGCGGCTGCGGCGGCGGGGAAGGAGTCAGAGGCCTCGGCGCCCCCGGACGGCGAGGCGCAGGCGGCGGCGCTAGAGGAGCTGGCCCGGCGCTGCGACAACCTGCTGCAGCTGCAGGAGCAGCGGGCCCAGCAGGAGGAGTTGCTCGAGCGCCTCTCGGCCGAGCTGCAGGAGGAGCTGAACCAGCGGTGGATGCGGCGGCGCCAGGAGGAGCTGGCGGCGAAAGAGGAGCCCCCGGAGCCCGACTGCGGCCCCGACGGCGAGCTGGTGCTGGAGCAGGAGCGGGTCAGGACGCAGCTCAGCACCAGCCTCTACATCGGACTCCGGCTCAACACCGACCTGGAGGCCATCAAGTCGGACTTGGATTACAGCCAGCAGCAGTGGGACAGCAAGGATCGCGAGCTGCAGGGCCTGCTTCAGACTTTGCACACATTGGAGCTGACCGTGGCGCCCGATGGGTCTCCGGATTCGGGGGGACCTTCCGGGGATCCTCGGCCTCAGGCCTCTGCTGAGGTGTGGGTGGACCAGGCCCGAGGACTGGCCAAGAGCTGCCCTGGCAACGACGAGGACTCGGATACGGGGCTGAGTTCGATGCACAGTCAGGACTCAGATTCCGTGCCTGTGTGTGAATCCCTGGTGTAGGAGACAGAGACGCATCTCCCTTCCCTGCAGAAAACACCGACCCGGCCGCCTCAGGGACTTGAAACCGGCCTAGGGTGGGCCCCGGGCTCTGGCAGGCAGCGGTGCCCTTTGCGCAGGAGAAGCGCACTCAGGAGGGCTGTGAGACAGCGTCTGCACCCTCACACACCCACCCCCCCACCCGGGCGAGTGTGGAGTAGAGTGAGAGGACCCAGAAGGCCCGAGGGCCAATCCAAACGCTTTTAAGGGGAGAAAGGAGGGAAGCTATGGGAAGACCCTCCCCCCTCCGGCGCCCCTCAGTACATGGAAAACAAACCCCCTGGGGAAATTGACGTGGTCCAAGCCCATTTCCAAAACCAGAGAGAAAGTATTAAGGAGATTTCGCCTCTTTTCCGTATGGGAAGGACTGATGGCAACTGGAGCGTTAGTTTGTGGCATAAAGCGCTTTTAAAAGAAATTCTTGGACGAAAAGGAAATTCCTTGAATGTTAATTGTGACTGTAAACGTGTTAAAACTAGCGAAAGAGGACGCACTGGGGTTGGTCTCAGCCTTCCTCGAGTCTTTGATAAAACTATAGGCTGTTTACATTTCTGCTGATTCGGGAATTACCCATCGTTTCCCTTTTATATTCTTTCAAAGGCTGAACCACAGCGACTCGTAACCCTGTATTTCTCAGTAGATATTGTGGTTCTTAAAACGGGACATATTCCCCCAAATTAGCTTTTATTTTGGCAAAGGTCAAACATAGCCCCTGGTGAGCTATATCAAATCCTGGCAAACACAATCCCTGGCTAAAATGTAACCTGGGCCCGTGGGATTTGATCCTGGAAGGGCAGGTGTGTTGCACTTTAATTCATCTCGCTGCTTTCGTCGGCTCCGTGGCAGTTCCTTTAGGAAAAAGGAAGGGAACTTTGCAGAATTGACCCTAAGCACAACTGCGTTTGCTTCCCAGTGGGTACTCTAACAGTAGGGCCTGAAAGCAAAGCTCTTTGTGAGTGAGTGTTCAGTTTTTGAGTGGAGCGCTATGAATAAAAACAACCATGACCTCAACTGATTTTACCCAAACCAGAGTCTAGCTCTCAGCGACTTGTTCAAATGGAAATCAAGAGAGTGTAAATACCAATGCTTACCAGATAAGGCCTGGAAAAGAGGAAGAGGAGTACAGTGGCGGAGTAGTACACCTTAGGCGACTCATTTGATTAACAATTGCACAGAGCCATCCATAAAAGCATATAAAAGCAGCTAATGAGTTGACTGTCTCTCGGCTGGCTCAAGCCTAGCCACCAGCCGGGAGAGGCCAGCGCAACACCTTCTCATTAGCTGCAGACCGCCCCGGTGGGAGCTCAGAGCAATCGTCCTGGTATTTCAATGAGAACTTATCAGTTGTAGTTAGCTGTTGCCCCGTGGAAGGAGCCTGCTGGAGCTCCCTCCAGGGCGCTGTGCTTCTGAGGAATGTGGCCCTAATCTGTCCTTAGGTGGTTTTAACAATGGGGTGTGTGTGGTGCCAGCCGGGTGCAGAAGTCTGGTATCGGCCTAACTGTTAAGGGCTGGGCTCCAGTTTCTGCTCTACAATGTGAAGATAACTCTGTAGATCTTGCTTTGTGGAGAACCGTCTTTTCTGGCGGAGCCTCTCTGTCTGCCTTTTGCCAGTGGGAGCCCACCTGCCCTCCTCAAACCACCATTTATTTGGACGGCCTTGACAAAAGACAGCCCCGCCCCCCAGCACACGACTGCCCCCAGCGTGACTGTTTCCAGGTTTCCCAGTGAAATGGGAATTCAAAGGCCGGTTTTCTTAATTGATGTTTTTAGAAGACATTTGCTGGCATAATTACGGTTTTTCCCTTTAGTCTGATGCAGAAAGCATCTATGTATTTGGTCTTCTATGCATGAATAAAATGAAGAGACCAAACGAAGTCCCCTGTCCCTGACAACCATTGGATCCCATAAGCACAAAGCTTAATGAAAGCTTGCATTTTGAGGCGGAGGTAAAATCCTTATTAGCGTGTGACAAGTGCTATGTGACTGCATGGTTTATGCTGGCAATGGGCTGACCTGGTGGTTTTTAAATCACTGTGCAGCGCACCTCCTGCCCCCTGGGGTGGCAGGGGAGGTGGCTCTTGGGGGTTTATGAGGTCCAAAGAGAACACAGGAGTTGGGGAAAGTCAGAAGTGGGCAAAAACAAGACCACCTGACCAAAAAGGGCAGTTTTCACTATGATTATTTTTCAACTCTGGCAGCTGCTGACATCAGCAAATCATCCTGAAGCCTGTAAAACAAATAGGCCACAGTGCAGGGAGACGGCCTGTGGGAATTTCTGGTGCTGCTTCTAGAACCTTCCCTGTTGCAGCTACCTGGAGGTGCCCCAGCTCATCAGGCATCTGGCGAGGCTTTGTTCGTCATAAAGGGTGGCCCCTCTTCTTCTCTTTCATCCCAATCAATCAGATCCCCCGAAGGCATTCTCTCTGTCTGTGAGTAGGAGACAAATCAAGAAAGGAGTCAATCGTTTCTTTGAGAGGCCCTTTTGCAAACTGGAAAAGGTGAAATATTTGTGCAAAAACATCCAAACAGTTTTGCTTAATAAATGGTAGACAGTTAAAACATTTCATTCACTTTTCTGAATAGACATCAGGGCACCAAAGGGCAGCTGTGGATGTACTTGTCGGTTGCCATCGGGTCAGTTCTCGGCAGCCTCGCGTACAGAGTAGATCCGCTCCTTCGAGGCTGTGACTGCAGCCTCGTGTACAGAGTAGATCCGCTCCTTC